TGCGCCGGCCGGGCCCCGCCGGGCCCCCTGACCCGGCTCGGCCGCCCCACTATGTGAACTGTGCGCCGCCAGTTAGTGCGCACCACTCTGTTACACGTCTTTTGTATGTAGGTATTGTTGGCACGACGGCAGTGCGCGTCGGACGAAATACACGTGCAAATGGAGCGCGGTTATCTGGCGACGCTGTCAAAGCCGTTGTGCTGCGCCAGCCGGCACGTAAGGTAGGTGGTGCGGCTGCTGACGGAGTGGGCGACCCGGTCCCTATCTGGGCCGCGGGAGCCGGCGGCGGGCCGGGCTCAGAGTGGTCGGACCCGTCGAGCCGTGCTAGCGCTACCGCCGCCGCTAGAGGCGCGGAGCCGGGGGGCCGCTGCTGGCCGCCGGCCGGACTGAGCCAGGGCGCAGCAGCGGTGCTGGGTCTGACCACGACGGCGCTGGTCTGCCTTGTCAGCAGCCGCCCACCGCGGGACCACCCGCAGGCTGCGCAGGCGCTGAGTGCCGCAGCTCTGGCCTCGCTGTGCCCCTGGGCCTGCCCGCAGCCCTGTTCCAGCAGCAGCCTGGGATTCACAGTTCAGCTGAGCGCGAGGCGGTATTTTAAGTCAAGCTTCCGGAATGTCTGTCCTGCATGTCCTGTTGCACGGTTCCGAGACGAGACGGGATGCCGGGTTGTTAAATGAAATATGGCTGCACACCAGAGACATTTGCTGTAAAATAGGCTGCCGTCGTGCTTGCATATTGTCATACCATTCTTCCGGGCCTGGTATCACCAGGTACTTGCCACCTGTACGAGATGACCTTGAAACCTTCGTGTACGCACCAGCGGCACTTCATTCAGAAACTGTGGCATGTGACTAGATAAACCAATATGCCCTGAACATCCATGGAGGTTTGCAAATTGCCCTTCATCAGATGTTACAGATGGCCTTTTTTTTTGCACGCACGACGTGTCTTAAAAAACAGTTCCTAGACACGTGTGTGGAGGGTTACTGCGGTTGACTGCGGGTAATTCGCATGTGCGACCATAAACATAGCTCTTTGCTGGTTTATTTTTGCGTTAACTCACCAGCAAACCGCTGCGTACTGACCCATTTTGGTCAGAACCTTGACAGTTTAGCCGGCACCACCAGATGGGTCTTCCGCTGCCCGCAGTGGCCCGTACCTGCGTGTGTGAGGGGGGATTACAAGTTGTACCCCGGGTACCTTATGATGCAACCGCGGGGTCGGGAGAGGCCTGCCGCAGAGAGACCTGGGACGTGGAGTTGACGCCGGACACGTTACCAGTCGCCTCAAAACTCAGCAAGACAGTTTTGAAATGACTGCAGGGCGTTTTCGCGTTTGTCGTAGAGGCCTATTCAGCCTCCGAGCCGGCACCAATGTCGAAAACATTGTCCGGCGCCTCAAAGACACACCGTGGTGCTAGTCAAGGCGAATCATTGACATTGGGACTTTACGCCTCACGCGGTTGCTGAGACTACATGGAGTCACCTGCCTCTCGCTCTAGTAAGAAGGGCGGGCACAGTGCAGCACCACGGGAAATCGAACCCATGCCTCTGGGTTCCCAGACGCCTTGCTTAACCACCGCACTACCGGTATCCCTAAGGCCGAGAATCAATCAGGGTCAGGGTCATGTAGGATTATGGTCGGATCACCTCATCACATCTAATGTCACATGCTCTTACACTCATTGTCACATGCTTGTCACATGCTCTACATTACACAACGGTCGTTGTCTTGGAAACGAGTAAGTCACACCAACCTGTTTATCACAGAAGGCCCTAGCAAAGCACTTTGGTTACATGATATAACTCCATCCCGCATGATCTCTGGTGTACGCGAACTCGTATGGTGGGAACTCCGAATTCTGCAGCTGATCTTAAAATTGCAGCGCAAGCCATCAATGATGAACCCAGATCTCAGTGACATGGATCCCGTGGTAGCACAGAATTCGATAGCGGTGCTCGCGTTGTGACGGTACTTCGGTCCCCATCACTGTGGGCGAAGGCAAAGCGCAAGAGCAATATTCAGTAATATGTGGGCTTTTACGTAATATAAGTAAACAACCTCTTTTAGGTCTGAAAGATTCAGGATTTGAGGATTAAAATTTTTGACTTGTTCTGAAAAAGGTACGCAAAGTCTGTTTTGTAGGACCAATCCCTTCTAGCTATGGGCGTTCAGCTCTGGCATGGGTGCCGGGCGTGTGAGCACGGCAACGCCGTTGTCGTGGGGGGGGGGGGGGGGGGCGGCAGCGCTCGCTGACCCGTCTGAAGCCGTGCTCCAGGTGGTAAGAGGAGAGGAGGGGGGGGGGGGGGAGATCGTGAGAGCCATGGTGACCTTGGGCCGCCCACTGCTGGTGCACGCGCTGGATGTGACCATTGACAGACTGTCGCCGCTGTTCACGCCGCCGCAGAAGGGCGTGTGCCTGAGGCTGGCCCGTGCCTCTAAAGGTGCATGGCGGCTGGCGGCTGGCGACTGCGCTGCGCTGCGAGCAGGCGCTGCTCGCCGTCCGGAGCCTGACGACGGCCTGCTCCGGCCGGCCGGTTGGGATGCCGACCCGGGCCGGTCCTGCCGCTCACCCCAGCCGGCCGGACCCAGAGGCAAGCCCCAGTAGTCAGGGCCGGGTGCGGGCGCCGCCGGCTCCACAGACCCGGAGCGCCAGCGAATGGCGAGTCTGCGCGCGGCTGGCTGTCACGGAGGGAGGTGGCGCCGTCCGCCCAGGACCTTCCTCACTACACATTTAGCTGCCTGCTGGCCAGCTGCTTGTGTGTGTCGCACCGGCCGTATCGCGGCGGCGTACGCAGCATACCGCCTGCGCGCGGTGGGCACGTCTGCGGACGCCCGGCTGGCGCTGCACCTGCTCCGAAGGCCTTCCTCCCTTCCTCCTCCCGCCGCCAGCCTAGTGGGAACTCTGGTGTCGACGCGCGGCCGATCTCCGGGCCCGCGGACCATCAGACGCCTTCCTCCCGCCGCCGCCAGCCTAGTGGGGGCTCTGGTGCCGACGCGCGGCCGATCTCCGGGCCCGTTGACCATCAGACGCCTTCCTCCCGCCGCCGCCAGCCTTGTGGGAGCTCTGGTGTCGGCGCGCGGCCGATCGCCGGGCCCACAGACCACCAGACGCTGTCAGCGCCGCAGAAGCTGCGCCTGCTGACTGCGCCGGCCGCCCTACGACTTCGAGGCGGTGCGCACCATCTGTGCGCACCTCCTGGCAGGCAGTGACGAGGCGCATCTGGAGCCAGACGGTGCAGTACTAGATGCACTGGGCCGTGCCCCGACGGAAGGGCGGACTGTAATGACGCCGCGGCGCACTCAGCATGCTCTCGCGTCGGCCGTCTTGCACGCGCAACGGCCCGGCTTCCTGTTTATGCTCCACATGATTCTGGTATGCCTGGTGACCGGGTGGCTCTGGGAGAGCCGCTTACGACCCCAACTCTCGGCTAGGGTCGGTCTCAATTACTAGACAATTGACCTGCGGGGCATGGATGTCTCGCGCTGGAATACACCCGGTCAGCTCTGGGACGACCTGACCTACGGATAATGCGGTCTGCGCAGAATTTGGTCTGCTAATTGGCTAAAGCCGGTCTGCCCGGACGCTGGCGCTAGACTCGGCCGCGGCGTCGTGGCGGTGAGGTGCGCGGCGGCGTGGCGGTGAGTTTCGCCGTGTCGTGGCGGTGAGGTGCGCGGCGTTGTGACGGTGAGGTGCGCGATGTCGTGGTGGTGAGGTGCGCCACGTTGTAGCGGTGAGTTCCGCGGCGGCGTGGCGGTGTGGCCCGCGGCGGCGCGGCGGTGAGTTCCGCGGCGACGTGGTGGTGAGTTCCGCGGCGACGTGGCGGCGTGGTGCGCGGCGGCGTGGCAGTGTGGTCCGCGGCGGCGTGGCAGTGTGGTCCGCGGCGGCGTGGCGGTGTGGTCCGCGGCGGCGTGGTGGTGAGTTCCGCGGCGACGTGGCGGTGTGGTGCGCGGCGGCGTGGCGGTGAAGTCCGTGGCGTTATGGCGAGGAGGTCCGCGGCGTCGGAGCGTACACCGCACGAGCCTGCTAGCCTCAGTTGTGCCTTCCGCTCCGGTCTGTCCTGGCCGGGGTTTAAGGGCGCGGTGCGGTTTAAGGGTCGTACTACACGGGCGTCTGGCTCATGCGCGTCTCCCTACTGCCCTGCAGGCTGCTGGTCACCACACCGGGGCGGAGCGCCAGCGTCCTGCCCCTCTGTAGCTCGCTGTGCTCGGTCGGCCACGCCGCGTTGGCGACTCTGTTGCGGTGGTCTGCTGCTGCCGCGCCGGCGGCGGCCGGCCCCCCGCCGCGGCCGCCGTTGGTCGCGGTGTGACGCCGACGCGTTCATCGGCATGGCGGGTCGGTCGCAGTGTTGACAGCAGCCAAACGCCACGCACGAACGACAGGTTCTGTGGTGTTGGAGGCGGCCGCTTCGACGGGACGCCCGTCACTTTCAATCCCCCCCCCCCCGCATGATGCTGCCTTCGTGGTTTGGGGAAAGATGCTGAACCGACTGCACGGTGAGTGAGTACGGGTTCCACAGCGGGCGCATTGTCTGACCCGGCTGATATGGGAAAGGCCACTAGACAACCGACAAACGAGGGTCAAGCCAGGCCCAGGCCGGTCGTGCCACAGCGGCGTGCGGCATGTTGCAACATCCGTGGTCCTGTGCGGTGAAACGGCCAAAGCGATATGATCCGTTGAATCATGCGGGACCACTTCAATGAACGATTCAGAGCACGCGCGTGAGACTTTCCTTAGTTGGTGCTCAGAACCGAACGTTACCCATGCAAGCCATTCGAAATTAATAAAAAGCGTGGCACTTTTTTGGGCGAAGTTATGTAGGCGTTCGAAGCTATGCAAAAAGTCATTATTTTAGACCTCCCAGTCATGCATTCATGCTCTGTCGATCCATTATCTACTCAGCATAATAAGGTGTTCCATAGCATACTATTCACATCATCGTATCTAATTTCGTGTACTGATACGAAACACAGATATAACCCCCAAAGACATTTGACCCATTACCAAGTTCCAAGTTCGAGGTACCCTGGCCGAACACATTGTTACGCGACTCCCTAAATGTCTGCAGGTCTGCCCACAGCCGCATACCCGGCTGCCAATATGCAGATACCCGCCACTTCATACAGGCACACCATAAGGTGATTACATATCCGCGGTACCAAATTTCGGCCGCGCATAGCGTCATGCGTCAGTCTAGCCAGGTGACATGATTTCCTGTATAAAATCGATCACGTATCAAGTACATCATACATGGACTGGCATCCGGCCGGACCATGTATGACCAGCTGCTGGACCGCGTCCGGCCCAGCAGCTTCAAAACATCGGGTCCTTCCCGCCACGCCCATTTCGACCCGTCGTCCGATCGGCGCAGCGCTGGAGACCCGTCAGCCGCGCATTCTTCGTCCTACATGACCGGCAGCGCCTGGCCGGAGCTGACGCTCCTGTGGGCAGCACAGGGCGGTATCAGGCCCTCCCAGGGTCACCACACGGCCGGAGCTGATACTCCTGTGGGCAGCACCGGGCGGTGTCAGGCCTTCCCAGGGTCACCACACGGCCGGAGCTGACACTCCTGTGGGCAGTACCGGGCGGTGTCAGGCCTTCCCAGAGTCACCACACGGCCGGAGCTGACACTCCTGTAGGCAGCACCGGGCGGTGTCAGGCCCTCCCAGGGTCACCACACGGCCGGAGCTGACACTCCTGTAAGCAGCACCGGGCGGTGTCAGGCCCTCCCAGGGTCACCACACGGCCGGAGCTGACACTCCTGTAGGCAGCACCGGGCGGTGTCAGGCCCTCCCAGGGCCACCACACGGCCGGAGCTGACACTCCTGTGGGCAGCACCGGGCGGTGTCAGACCATCCCAAGGTCACCACACGGCCGGATCTGACGCTCTCGTTTTCCGAACCGACACCGACTGCACCAGGAGCAAGCACAAGTCAGCCAGAGCTGCACCTACTCGCTACGTTCCATGCCATTCTGCTTACAGCATCTTTAAGCACTTTAACGCGAGGCCTTTGGCTGTACGCAGGCTGGGCGACCCACCGCCATCGCCGACAAATCAAGGTCAACTCTCCAACCAACGTTACCCCAGCCCATGGCAGTCGGCGGTGGTTCGCTTCGGCGAACCGAAGGACAGCACGCGATACGTACATAGCTGCCCGAAGACAACGATGGCGTCGACCTCGGCGCCAGCGGGCAGGGAGGCGCGCTGGTCAGTCCGGGCCGGCAATTCCAGCAGCGCCACAGCCCGACACAGACTCAGAACGTTACTGCTCATCTGACTGCCTGGAAACGCAGCGCCCAGCTCAGTCCACCGAGACCCGGCGCATCACTCACTGCCTGCGAGGGCACCGACTCAGCACACAGATCAGACGATGTGAAGGCATACTAAACAATCCTATGAGCAGACAAGCCTACCGAGTCATGCTTCGCTTTAGGCCTGCGGCCCAGTGGGGACTCGCAGTGCGATACAGCGGGACTTGTCACTGACGGCCGGCGCTATGCGGAGGCCTACAACAGTGGCGAGCCGAGACGGGCGAACATGCCAGGAGCCATACATATGCGTCCAAACTGAAAACGAGTTTTGTGTGAACACGAGAAAACGATCGTTGTGATAAAATATCAATAAAACAAAGTGAAAACAAGAAAACGATAATTGAGCAGCAAGGAAAACCGCTACATCAATTTCGGTGATCGCGCACAGCACACTGCCACGTCCGCATGGCGTCATTTGACAAGAAGTTTTCTAAGTTCAAGCATTTGCCGTTGTGAGGGTTAATAACAGTCAATAAAAAATAGTACCAAAATCAATTAAGAAAAATGGCTGTCATGCCAAGCAGTGATTACAACGCATCGCTTCTGTTGACATGAGAGTCTGCCTCCGCGCGTGCAGCCCACCACGTCAGCACACCAAGCCGCCCCTCTGAGTAGGGGTCGAGCGTCGAGGACAACGCTTGGGCGGAAGCGGCTGACCTGTAACGCGCGCTACCGGCAGTCGGCCGGTCTGGGAGTGCGTCAGAGTGGCGCGCGCGAACTCAGGGCGGGGGTCCAGACGAACCTCCGACTCCAGCTGCGGGGGACGGGGCACAGACTGTCACGGACATCAGCACCAAAACACAGCACAAACTGGGACCGCGGGTCCAGACCAATCTCCCACTCCAGCTGCAGGGGACGGGACACAGACTGTCACGGACATCAGCACCGAAACACGGCACAAACCGGGACCGCGGGTCCGGACCAATCTCCGACTCCAGCTGCGGGGGACGGGACACAGACTGTCACGGACATCAGCACCAAAACACGGCACAAACTGGGGCCGCGGGTCCAGACCAATCTCCCACTCCAGCTGCAGGGGACGGGACAGAGACTGCCCGATATAACACAATATAGACTGTTGGGTACACTAGCAACGGAATACAAACGATTGCGGACACTTCAGGTTGTCACCAACACACACAGAACAGACGGATGCAGGCACACAGATGACCGTGTATGGACACGGGCATCGCCACACGGACTTATACAGGTACCAAGGCCAGAGGACAGACTAACGCAGAAGCCGAAACCGAAATACCGACTGTTCGAGGTGCAGACGCCAAACACACACCGTTTCAGTCATGGCGATGAAAGGACTGCCGTGACGCTACGGCGCACAGACTTTAAAGATCTGGGACGAGCCCGTCAACGGTCAGAACCTCTGCTCCCTCTCCGCGAGCGCACCGGGCGTCCACAGGGGGCGCCGGCCACCTGACCCGCGGTTGCAGCAGCTGCGCCCCCCTCCCGCACCTGGCCCGCGGTGCAGAGCTGCGGCCCCTCCCGCACCTGACCCGCGGTGAAGAGCTGCGCCCCCTCCCCGCACCTGACCCGCGGTGCAGAGCTGCGACCCCTCCCGCACCTGACCCCGCGGTTTGCAGAGCTGCGACCCCCCCGCACCTGACCCGCGGTGCAGAGCTACGCCCCCCTCCCGCACCTGACCCGCGGCTGCCGAGCTGCGACCCCCCCCTAACCTGCACACGGAGCTTGCTGTACTGGAAGTCGCGCAGGCCGGCCATCGCTCGCAGGGCAGGCATCACGTGCAGCACGCTGCACACCGCCGCCGACACCGGGTTGCCAGGCAGACCGAACACGTACTTGCACCTGCCATCTAGCGTCAGCGTGGCGAACGTCGTTGGCATGCTGCGAACGGCCAGGGCCGCGTCAGACGACTGCAGGGGTCGACCCGAGGGCGAGCGACCGGGATACCCGGGCGCGCACATTCAGTGGACCCGGGTCACGCCCGTGGCAGGTCAAAAGCATCCCGTCGAGACATGCATGCCGGGCATCCGTCACGCGTGGTTGACACGCTAGGTCAGCGGTCCTGGCTGCGTGAGTCAAAGGCAGCGAAGCGCCGCGCGCAAGGCCGGCGACGACACAAACGTGAGATCAACACCGCAGACCGACAAACAACCAGTGACGACGCAAGAGGCAAGCTCGACGCAATCCATATCTAGACCAGATGTACTGTCCCCAACAGCCATAAAACAAAATAGCACGACCAAAACTGCATGCTAAGGCCAGCTCATCTCATCATCCAGCATATGACTGCAGCCTCAGCCGCTGCAACCGCTTGGGGTGAGCCTGACGTAACACTGGCCACCGATCCCCAGTCACTTCCGGCGGATCAGGTCAGGTCAGGCTCAGCAGGCCAAGCAGGGCAACCAGGCAAGTTGAAACCAAGAGGCTGGTTTGGGTGGGCAGTTCAAGTCCGGAGGTCAAGTCAGGTGGCCAGGTCGGCCAGCCCCGGTCGTCACTGACCCGGGCTTCATGAAGACGCGGCCGAAGTGGACCTGGGCGCCGAGGTCGTCGGTCAATAGACGCTTGACCAGATCACGCTCGCCCATGGAGACGCCGCCGGTGGTGACGAGCACATCGGCGCGGTGCAGCGCCGATCGGAGCGCTGCCAGCTGCTGCTCCGGCCTGGCCGCACCGGCACCGCTCACGGTCAGGGGGCAGGCACACACCGGCCCGCCAGCAGCTGCTCCGGCCTGGCCGCACCGACACCGCTCACGGTCAGGGGGCAGGCACACCCCGGCCCGCCAGCAGCTGCTCCGCCAGGCCGCACCGGCACCGCTCACGGTCAGGGGGCAGGCACATCCCGGCCCGCCAGCAGCTGCTCCGCCAGGCTGCACCGACACCGCTCACGGTCAGGGGGCAGGCACATCCCGGCCCGCCAGCAGCTGCTCCGCCAGGCCGCACCGACACCGCTCACGGTCAGGGGGCAGGCACACCCCGGCCCGCCAGCTGCCGCTCCGGCCTGGCCGCAACGACACCGCTCACGGTCAGGGGACAGGCACACCCCGGCCCGCCAGCTGCTGCTCCGCCAGGCCGCACCGACACCGCTCACGGTCAGGGGGGCAGGCACACACCGGCCCGCAAGCTGCTGCTCCGGCCTGGCCGCACGGGCACGCGCCACTGTCAGCGCCTCGGACAACAGGTGAATGAATCACAACCCGCCAGTTCAGCCTCACTGACGACTGAAGCTAGGGTCGCAGACAGTTTGTGCAATTGAGTGGTGCACATGCCTAAATTCTTAATGTGAATATGTACGCACATTATGCTGGCCCATCTCAAATGGAAAATAGTCCCGTGCCAGGAGCCGGCATCACACAATATATCAGGTCTTCATATCCCTTCCGGTCACGATCACGCCGCCCGTCTGACGTCACTCACTCGTCGATGGCGATGCCGGCGTCGATGACGCAAGCACCGGTGGCCGGCAGGGCAGAAAGCAGCGACAGCCGGTTTGTGTCGTAGATCCGGCCGGGCTCCAGAGGCCGGCCCGGCTCCTGCACCTCGTTACCCGTCGACATGACGGCAACGGTCGGCCGGCTGCGCAGCCCCAGGTCACCGTCAGCTCACGCCAGGTACAGGAGATAAGACATCACCTCTGGCCACCGTCAGCTCACGCCAGGTACAGGAGATAAGACATCACCTCTAGTCACCGTCAGCTCACGCCAGGTACAGGAGATAAGACATCACCTCTGGCCACCGTCAGCTCACGCCAGGTACAGGAGATAAGACATCACCTCTGGCCACCGTCAGCTCACGCCAGGTACAGGAGATAAGACATCACCTCTGGCCACCGTCAGCTCACGCCAGGTACAGGAGATAAGACATCACCTCTGGCCACCGTCAGCTCACGCCAGGTACAGGAGATAAGACATCACCTCTGGTCACCGTCAGCTCACGCCAGGTACAGGAGATAAGACATCACCTCTGGCCACCGTCAGCTCACGCCAGGTACAGGAGATAAGACATCACCTCTGGCCACCGTCAGCTCACGCCAGGTACAGGAGATAAGACATCACCTCTGGCCACCGTCAGCTCACGCCAGGTACAGGAGATAAGACATCACCTCTGGCCACCGTCAGCTCACGCCAGGTACAGGAGATAAGACATCACCTCTGGCCACCGTCAGCTCACGCCAGGTACAGGAGATAAGACATCACCTCTGGCCACCGTCAGCTCACGCCAGGTACAGGAGATAAGACATCACCTCTGGCCACCGTCAGCTCACGCCAGGTACAGGAGATAAGACATCACCTCTGGCCACCGTCAGCTCACGCCAGGTACAGGAGATAAGACATCACCTCTGGCCACCGTCAGCTCACGCCAGGTACAGGAGATAAGACATCACCTCTAGCCACCGTCAGCTCACGCCAGGTACAGGAGATAAGACATCACCTCTGGCCACCGTCAGCTCACGCCAGGTACAGGAGATAAGACATCACCTCTGGCCACCGTCAGCTCACGCCAGGTACAGGAGATAAGACATCACCTCTGGCCACCGGCAGCTCACGCCAGGTACAGGAGATAAGACATCACCTCTGGCCACCGGCAGCTCACGCCAGGTACAGGAGATAAGACATCACCTCTAGCCACCGTCAGCTCACGCCAGGTACAGGAGATAAGACATCACCTCTGGCCACCGTCAGCTCACGCCAGGTACAGGAGATAAGACATCACCTCTGGCCACCGTCAGCTCACGCCAGGTACAGGAGATAAGACATCACCTCTGGCCACCGTCAGCTCACGCCAGGTACAGGAGATAAGACATCACCTCTGGCCACCGTCAGCTCACGCCAGGTACAGGAGATAAGACATCACCTCTAGCCACCGTCAGCTCACGCCAGGTACAGGAGATAAGACATCACCTCTAGCCACCGTCAGCTCACGCCAGGTACAGGAGATAAGACATCACTTCTGGCCACCGTCAGCTCACGCCAGGTACAGGAGATAAGACATCACCTCTGGCCACCGTCAGCTCACGCCAGGTACAGGAGATAAGACATCACCTCTGGCCACAGTCAGCTCACGCCAGGTACAGGAGATAAGACATCACCTCTGGCCACCGTCAGCTCACGCCAGGTACAGGAGATAAGACATCACCTCTGGCCACCGTCAGCTCACGCCAGGTACAGGAGATAAGACATCACCTCTGGCCACCGTCAGCTCACGCCAGGTACAGGAGATAAGACATCACCTCTAGCCACCGTCAGCTCACGCCAGGTACAGGAGATAAGACATCACCTCTGGCCACCGTCAGCTCACGCCAGGTACAGGAGATAAGACATCACCTCTGGCCACCGTCAGCTCACGCCAGGTACAGGAGATAAGACATCACCTCTGGCCACCGTCAGCTCACGCCAGGTACAGGAGATAACACATCACCTCTGGCCACCGTCAGCTCACGCCAGGTACAGGAGATAACACATCACCTCTGGCCACCGTCAGCTCACGCCAGGTACAGGAGATAAGACATCACCTCTAGCCACCGTCAGCTCACGCCAGGTACAGGGCATAACACATCACCTCTGGCCACCGTCAGCTCACGCCAGGTACAGGAGATAAGACATCACCTCTGGCCACCGTCAGCTCACGCCAGGTACAGGGCATAACACATCACCTCTGGCCACCGTCAGCTCACGCCAGGTACAGGAGATAAGACATCACCTCTAGTCACCGGCAGCCCATGCCAGGTACAGGAGATAAGACATCACCTCTGGCCACCGTCAGCTCACGCCAGGTACAGGAGATAAGACATCACCTCTAGCCACCGTCAGCTCACGCCAGGTACAGGGCATAACACATCACCTCTGGCCACCGTCAGCTCACGCCAGGTACAGGAGATAAGACATCACCTCTAGTCACCGGCAGCCCATGCCAGGTACAGGAGATAAGACATCACCTCTGGCCACCGTCAGCTCACGCCAGGTACAGGGCATAACACATCATCTCTGCCCACCGTCAGCTCATGCCAGGTACAGGAGACAACACATCACCTCTGGCCACCGTCAGCTCATGCTGGGTGCAAGTGATGACACATCCAGACAACATACAACACATGACTAGGCAGGACATACTTCCCAGCCCAACTGAGGTGGCAGTGGTAAAGCACACCCCCCTAATATCACAGTGCCCTGACCTGACCTCTGCACGGGACGGGCCCTCACCTGAACACTGTGACCTGACAGACACCGACAGCAGCCAGCGAAGCGAGCTCGAACGGTCCGAGCCGGCGGCCGGAGTCCAGCACCAGGGTGCCCTTGGCGATGTCACTCCCCACCGGCCTGAAACGGCACCGAGACGGAGCACGTCACGACAGTGGTACGTAAACACAGCAGGGGCACGTCACAACAGTAGTACGGGAACACAGCAGGGGCGCGTCACGACAGTGGTACGGGAACACAGCAGAGGCACGTCACGACAGTGGTGCGAGAACACAGCAGGGGCGCGTCACGACAGTGATACGGGAACACAGCAAAGACGCGTCACAACGGTGGTACGGGAACACAGCAGGGGCGCGTCAAGACAGTGGCGCGGGAACACCACAGGGCGCGTCACGACAGTGGCACGAGAACACCACAGAGCACGTCACGACAGAGGCACGGGAACACCGCAGGGGCGCGCCACGGCAGTGGCACGGAAACGCCACAGGTCGCGTCACGACAGAGGCACGGGAACACCGCGGGGCGCGTCACGACAGTGGTACGGGAACACCGCGGGGCGCGTCACGACAGAGGCACGGGAACATCGCAGGGGCACGCCATAACAACTAAGGGGAGAGCACATCTCAGCGACACGCGCCGGAGGACACCAGGCGGGTGTGCGGGGAAGGCGCCGGTCGCAGCCCGCAGCAGCAGGCAGCGACCCCTAACAAGGCGGCCGATCCTGCTGACCGCTCGGTCATGACGTCGCTGGGAAGGGCCAGCAACACGCAGGTGGTAAATCTGCCGCGTACACATTACGTTCCTTCCGTTGCCGTCTTTATACTGATGTGTTCACCCGCTGTCCTGACCCCTGCCGCTTCTCTAACCTGACACCTGTTGCTCCACTAACCTGACCCCCAACCACTTCTGACCTGATCTCTGCCGCTCCTCTAACCTGGCTCCTACCACTCGCCTGGTCTGACCCCTGCCACTTTTCTGAGCTGGTCCCTGCCATCCCCTGGCCTGATCCCTGCCGCTCCTCTAACCTAGCTCCTACCACTTCTCTAATCTGACCCCTGCCATCCTCTGACCCGATTCCTGCCCCCTGACTCCTGCCATCCCACTGACCTGATGTCCTGGCCGGCGCGCGGCGCCTCCAGGATCTCCACGGTGAGCTCGCGCGTGCCGTCCTCGGACGCCTCCGCCAGCCGGGTCTGCTCCACCATGACGACGGCGTCAGCGCCGGCCGGTACGGCAGCGCCGGTGCTAATGCGCACGCAGGTGCCGGGCCGCACGGTGGACGCCGCGCCGTCACCCTGCGCACCGCACGGAGGGTCAGCGGCCGCAGCGCGGGCCGGGTACGTCCGCGGACGGCGAGAACGAGCCGCGGCACGCCACAGGCAGCGCAAACACTCGACGTCGGAAGTGGGCCCATCTCCGCATCTTGCTTCTGCTTACGTCCACACCAGCGTTGGAGGCACCCAGCACATGTCTGACGCCAACACCATCTGCCGAGCAGACGGCGTAGCCATCCTTCACCGAGGCCGGGAAAGGTGGCAGTGGCACCTTAGCCACGATGTCCTCTGCCAGCACGCGGTCCTGCGCGGCACTGAAACAGATAACGACGATGATCACGGGCTGAGCAAGCGCCAGCAAACCAGATGGTATGAACCAGCCCCAAGGCGCCACAGACTTCTGGCCGGTGGATTCGCAGTACACGCACGTTAGTAGCGACCGAATGACGAGTTTCTGGACGAAGACGGGACACGGGACAATACGGTGTACTGGTACATCCCATCCGTTAGGCCAAACATAATCAGTGCGTTGTTGAAAGCATGACAAAGGCCTCCCATCCCGCTCCTGGCTCTAACCTCTCCATGGGTGCACACGCTCGAACAGTGCCCTAGTCATCAAGCCGGCTCCACTTATATTGACACACGCAGGGCATCCCCAGCTGACTCCAACTCACTTCGACAGACCCAGCCAGCCCGCATCTGTCCGTCTCCAGACCGGGCGGCCCTCTCCGAGAGACGGCCACTCACGTGATGTTGAGCGTCTCGACGGCGCGCTCGTAGCCAGCCACGGCGTCCATCACGACCTCCTGCGCCCTGGCCAACGGGATGGTGGGGTACGGCGAGCGGCGGTGCCGGCGCGACACCTGAGATGGGTCCACCTGCGGCGCAGACGGGGGTGGACAGGTCACGGGCCGCTCCTGGCGCGCGGCCACCGGACTGCCGCACCCCGCCATCGCAGGTGTCGATTCACGAAGCTCGGAGATTCGAGCCGGGGGGACTCGGGCGCTGACACGCGGCTCAATCAACGGCGCCGCTATTTAGGAGCGGCGCCGCCGGCTCCACTGTGTCACCTCTGGGCGCCGCTGTTTAGGAGCAGCCTGTCATATCGCACCATGGCGCGAAGCAACAGGGCGCGGAAGACTCATCGACAGCCTCGTGGCGGGCGTCGTACCGTGGAGCCGGCCTGGTGCTGGTGCTGGTGCTGGTGCTGACAGTAGTGCTCATCTCCGCCGGCGGTCGGCGTGGCCCGCTGGGGCACGGTATCGCTCTGCAGCTGCAGGTGCACATGCTCCACGCGCGTCCGTCGGTCCCGCAGCAGGTCGACGGCGTGCGGCAGGCCGGGCGCCAGCAGCCGGACGCACTCCTCGGCCGCTTTGGGGCTGCCCGGCAGCGTGACCACCACACACCGGCCGCGCACCCCGGCCACCGGCCTGCCGGCCACAGGACGGCGGCTCAGACCCCGCTGACCCGAGGGTGCCCAGTGGTCGGGAGGTGGAGACATGTTAACGTCCTATTTAATATCTTAGCTGGAGGTACACCTACACAGATCCCCGATACATGAGAGGGACTCAGGACGGCCGACGACTGCAGGTGGCTATTACTGCAAAAGGGGCCATAGCACGGGGATAGGCACTAGCTAGGCACTGATATACCGCAGGCAGGAGCTAGGCACTGATACACCGCGTCATCATAGCCAGGGGAGGGCAACGCGGGCGCCGCCGTACCGCGACAGCATGGCCAGCGGGGTGACGGCCAGTGAGCCGTGCAGCATGGCAGCCAGCAGGCCGGGCGCTGACCGCTCCAGCAGCGGCGCCACAGCCTCGGGCGTCACGTCCCGCGCCGCAAACCCCGTGCCGCCCGAGGTCAGCAGCACGTCACAGCGGTCCGAGAGCCCGGTCACGGCCGCCTGCAGACAGTGGAGAGGCCGCGTCAGACGCCGGCCTCCAGAGGTCACGCAAATGCGTCGGCTGCAACGAAGTCTTGCGACTTCGTCGCACCGTCCATTACAGTGGAGCTCGTTGGCCACCACGTGTAGCTGACCCTCCTAGCCAGATCAGGCCCATTCGCCCCAGGTGCTCATTAGCTGCTGTTCCGAGCAGGACCTCGCCGGCGGACTGGATTCGCTCTGTTCACTCCACAGACGGGTCCGGCAGCTAAGAACACGCTGGTCAGTGTTTCGGGAGGGTCCCCGCTGTCGCTGGAGTCACACCTGTATGTCGGCGCGCTCATCAGCCACCACCATCCGCTGGACGAGCTTGGCCACGAAGAGTTCGCCGCCCTCGAGCAGCGCGCTGAGCCGGGGCCCAGTCAGGTCGGCTGAGCTGCCTGCCGCCGCCCGGTCACTCACTGGGGCCCAGGACACACATCAGTGGGGTATGTCCATCTGCCACCCCACCCCACACACTGCAGCCTCAAAGGCAGTTGGAGCACAGGCCTACAGGAAGAACTTGATGAAGCCTGAGCATGTGCAGGGTGTTTGAATAATACTTACCCTCTTCTTTTCTCTAAGTTGAACATACAGATTAAATACAAACAGCTTTTATGTCAGTATTCTGACAATTCTGTGATACCAGCATGCAAACTTTAAAATAGAATGCACCAGATCCAACACAGGAGATATTACTTGACTTGAAAATCAACTGGCAAGCAAAGTTAAAAATCCCTTCTACCACCTGTAATGCTAAGTCATACCTATTATGATGCCAATCTTCAGTGGGTCCATTGTTGTGCTGTAAAGAAAATTAAGAGCAATGAGGTTTCTTTGGCATAGCAGTAAACAAACATGTAATAAAAGCTCAAAATCAATCAAGTCTTGGTAACAAGAGTTTATCAGTTAGTCTTGGGCTATTCCATATATACATAGGGGACTTCCTACCTATAGACAGCCAATTATGTCTTATTGGGAACACATTTTATTTACATAGGCAATCTGTTCTGTTTGTATATTACCTGCCTATCCATTTGCCCAGGCAGCAACATATTTATGGATATAAATGTAATACATGCCAAAAGAAAATGCATTGGATACTTAATGATGTACATTAAGCTTCAGATGGAATTACAATGGCCATCATGATAACCTAAATCGAGTCAAAATTCCTTCCACTGTACTATAGTTTTATTTTGAGCCCATCTCTTCCTGAACCAACTGGCAAGGAGTGTCAATAATAGGGTCAGCTCTTCAGAAACACAAGCTGAATATTTCTCTGAGGCTAGAGCGTCTCTGTAATTCCCTTCACAAGACAAATCACACACCTACGCTTCTCACGAACCAAGCTCTAGATCCCACGGCTCTTCTAAACACTAAATTCAAGACGTTAAACCAGCAGCAGGGACCCAGTGCAAGTGTGATGTGGGTCAGAGATGTTTGTTTATGGTGGGCGAAAATTGCATACGTATCATCTGCGTCACATAAGCCTTTGATTTCTTAACCAGGAGGTTTTATTAAAGGTCTTTAAAGTTCAGGCAATTAGTCGCCCATAATAAAATAAGAACTAGTGTGAAATTTTAGGAAAGAGCTGCTGGATTTTGAGCAATACTTGGAATTCATTTAATGTAGACTGAGTCTTCCTCATCAAAAGAAACGTATGTTCATTTCATACTTTTATGGTAATTTGACGTCATAAGTTGGTAGCTTTTGTGCCATGTCTGTAAATGAAGAACGGAGCTTTTACATTTTTTTGTTTGTTTTGATCATTGAGATTGGTGACGGTTGGTGTTTGGGGGTGCGTGCTGCCGATTTGGGTTACGAGTATTTGTTGCGCATTGGAGTACTTGTCATGTCGTAGAAAGAAACAGGGGATGTGTTAAATATGTGTGAAAAGTAATCAATGAAATTAGATTGGGTCCGTAGTGTACAGTGCAATACCTGCTCAGGTATATCGCATTTAAGACGTGGGAACACGTCCTACTGCTCAGTATGCAAGCTGTGGCAAACCTGCCAATGCTATATTTCGGACGGACAGAATCCTACCCAAAATAGCATAATAAATGTGCCTATCTGGTTACGTTTGGTGGTGATGCAGGTTCCCTTCCAAAAAAATTGAGATCCACCCTCAGATATTGTCATTTTCTGTGGTCCTGTCAGTTTTGAATTTCAAAGGACACATTATGATGTCATCAGTAGTCCAGTTCCACAATGTCTGTCAGAGTTTTGAGAAGCTGTTCTGATTATAAAGCTTTACCCAGGTCTGTCCCATCAGGATCTTGTACAAATCAGCCTCAGTTTGCAGACTGGTCAATAGGTGAACATATACTTGGTCTGCAAGTCAGCATTTGATTACATGTACATGGTGCAAGGTTCAGGTAACACTTAGCAGCAGATAAATTGCCAGTTTATTGACATTAGAACAACAGCAAAAAGAAAGAAGGGAACAATGCATTGACAGATCCTTACAATATATATTTTCCTTTGCAGATATAGCAAGTTTTCAGCTTTCAGGCTATGTCAGCTCTGACATCTTTCTTGTCACTGGAAATTTACCCCGTGCAGCAGTAATTCTAAAGAAAATTGTGGATAGCAGCCAGCAGGTAGATGCTAGTAATACTCACATTCTTTAATGTTTTGAGCAGAGACATTCTGATGCAGTCAGTCATTGTATATGGTTATATTTTCCACTGGTGTATGTTAAGTGTTGATATACCAGCTGATGATCTCACTAGTAAATACTTCATTATATATATATATATATATATATATATATATATCCATAATGTCTTAGCTCAGTTATGGTTCATGCATTAAAAATGGTTTACCCATGGTGCTTTCCATGTTTATCATGCCCTACTCACCACCACATGGCTCACTGAAGCATTTTACATGCTCAAGGATGGTGCATTTCAAGGTCAGGGAGTGACAAAAGGTAGAAATGATTGTTTATTGCTGTCACCAGATAGTAGCACACACTTTACCCACAAAGACCAATTTCCTTAAAGGGGGGTGCTCCACAGTTATGTGAGTTTTGAACTGAAATAGCCTGGTGCTGTTCAAATCCTGCCATTCTTAAGACATAACCCCATCTTGTCTCTGAACTACACATCTAAGAAAATGAGAAAAGGGACATCAAGAATTGCATATCAAAGACACTTTGGCATCCATGATGTCATGATAACGCCATCAAAATCCTGCAAAATGAAATAATAAAATTGTCCGGGGGCTCATTCTGTTTTCATGAGCTCAGTCCCCTGACATAACAGCCACTAGTTGGCTCTCAATCAATGGTATGCTAGGTAAAATGATACAATGAAATCATGATGTATTGAGGAACATGTTTACTAACAGAGAATTGAACTGCCTACAGCAGTTTTCCCCCTTAAAAGCATACCAATAGTATAAATGACTGTTTCATCACAGATGGTGCATGGTCAGTGCCTCTGAATGTAGAACATTCCCTTTAGTATGGATACAAGTGCTTGCCATTGTACATCCCACACTCTGCATAAACAGCTGCACATAGCTGTGAAGCCAGAGCTTCAAATAATGTGCCACCTGTAGTTTAAGGATAAGGCAACTGCCAGGGGTCCTAAGACTTGAAGTTGTGCAACACCTTAAGTATTTGAAACTGGTGTGACAGTTGCAATGAGGAATTTGGGTTCATTGGATGACAGGACTAAGGGTGCATTCTATAACATGGATTTGTGTATGCTTTGCAGATTGGTGTAGTGGAATATGGATGTTTCACATACAACTAGCAACTAAGAACTTGGCTGGTAGAGTTGCTTCCTGTATAATGGGCATGATATGTAAGCCATGTTGCAAAAGCTTTAGATAAGGTAGACAAACTGATAAGGATACTTGGCATGAGGCAAAATAATAAGGTTTACATTAATTATTGACATATAATTGCTCAGAATGTATTGTAAGGTAGAGATGGCTTTAGAACTATTGTTTACCAAACATAGCTTGTTTCAAACTCAAACCCACTGCAGTTCAAAGAGCAATTTTGTCGAAGTTTTCTAAGAGCCAGATGACACCATGTGATGGCAGGTCCTGTTCAGCTTGCTGTCTTGGCCATTTAGTCACAAATTTGCTGCTGAGACAAGCCACGTCACCACAGCATCACGACTCAGGGCTATATACCTGCCACATGTCAGCATCCAAAAGTTTGCTGGCGGCACAAACCAGATCAAAGGGATGATGGATCCCAGAACATAAGTTTGCACTAAAGATTGCAGAATTGTATGAGACATATGGCTTGGTTACCACAAGCTTTTCATCCCATTTATAACTCTGATCTCAGCACCTAATTTCAGAACAGTTGAATATTGACACCCAGTGTTGGTAGGCTGGTGCTTGGCAAGAGGCCGCTGACCGCTGACGAGCGCGGCCTGACTGGCGGGGTGGCCGCTGACCGCTGACGAGCGCGGTCTGACTGGCAGGGAGGCCGCTGACCACTGACGATGACCGCTGACGAGCGTGGTCTGACTGGCAGGGCGGCCACTGACCGCTGACGAGCACGGTCTGACTGGCAGGGCGGCCGCTGACCGCTGACGAGCGCGGTCTGACTGGCAGGGAGGCCGCTGACCGCTGACGAGCGTGGTCTGACTGGCAGGGTGGCCACTGACCACTGACGATGACCGCTGACGAGCGTGGTCTGACTGGCAGGGAGGCCACTAACCGCTGACGAGCGCGGTCTGACTGACAGGGCGGCGGCCGGAGCCAGGCAGCGGCGCGCCGCCATGAGTGACCAGCACCAGGGCCTGGTGGCGGCCGGCCGTGGCTGCGGCGAGGTCGACCACGTGAGCCAGCTGTCGCAGGATCTGGCGCTGCTGTGCCGCTCCGAAGAGTTCAGCGACGTCGTGCTGGTGGTGGACGGGCACCGGTTCAGCGCCCACCGCTCCGTGCTGGCCGCCCGCAGCGAGTACTTCAGGTGAGTCGGCCGCGCCCACCCGGTCTGGTGGTCCGGCGGTACTAACGACTGCCAATTATATGTGGTACCGTCAGCTTGCTGGTGCGCCAGTGTACCGCACAAATTGCTTAGGGTCGAATAGCGCCACGAAAACATCCAAGTTTCATGATGAAATCTTGAAAACTCCAGCGTTACAGTGCAGGTAAGTGGTGGACCATGGGCTCGTATCGTTATCGTTGTAGTCTGTCATGTGCCCTCGACAAAGTACTGTTGTGCTGGGGGCTATGCAATGGAATGTCAAACCAGTAAGTTAACAATACAGGTAAATGGACCGTGGGGTCGGCTGTAGAGCGGAAGACCGCGGTGCGCCGGGCTGTGCCTGTCGAGCCGGGTCCGGGACCCGCGTCTGGAGGCGGACGGGCAGGCCACAGTACGTGTCAGCGGTGTCGTGGTGATCGGACCGTGTGTAACCGTGTGATGGCAGCAGCTGTGGGCGGCGATGACTGTTGATGGCAGCGACTCTGGATGGAGTGTGGATGATGATGGCGGCCGTGGACGACGGAGTGTGACCGTGCTGATGGCGGGCGGCCGTGGACGACGGTGTATGGCCTTGCTGATGGCAGCGGCCGTGGACGGCTGAGTGTGACCGTGCTGATGGCAGCGGCCGTGGACGACGGTGTATGGCCTTGCTGATAGTAGCGGCCGTGGACGACGGAGTGTGACCGTGCTGATGGTGGCGGGCGTGGACGACGGAGTGTGACCGTGTTGACGGTAGCGGCCCGTGGACGACGCAGTGTGACCGTGCTGATGACAGTGGTGAGCGTTGACGGCGGCGGCTGTGGACGGCGCTTGATGGCGCGTCTCCCCGGCCAGGGCACTGCTGTTTGGCGGCATGAAGGAGTCACGCGAGAAGGAGGTGACGCTGACCGGCGCCGCCGTCGAGCCGTTCCGCGTGCTGCTCCAGTACATCTACACCGGCCAGATGTCGCTGGCCGCTCTCAAGGTGAGCGTTGCTGACGGTGTGGCGGCGGGCCGGCTCGGCACGCCTCGCCGCCGGTCGTCTCCCCCGGGGTCGGCTCCGGCCGCGGCCCAGTCCAGTCGAGACGACAAACTACACCGATATCTGGCGCTGTCCTTAGAGCAGATGGAATAATAATCGTTATCGCTATCGTTATCGTCGTTATCGTATCGTTATCGTTGTAGTCTGTCTTGTGGCATCGACAAATTACGGTAAGGGTGGGGGGCTATGCGATTGGAATGTCAAGTCAGTGACATTTTCGATGGATGTTTACTTCCAGTAACGACAAGCCCCAGTCGGACGGGCTCGTCCGAAGACTTTGGACCGTTGGTTGCGTGTTGCTGGTCGGACCCTCTGGGTTTCAGCGTTCAGTGTGGCTGCGGGACAGCTGGCTGGGGTCTGGGGCCAGTGCGTGGCCGGGTGGGCGTGAGCGTGTCGCAGCCGACCCTGACCTCGCTGTTTCGCG